CTTGGCCTGGGCGTCTGCGTATCGGGTCAGGTGGGAAAGAACCTCTTGGTCTTTCCTGCCGCCATGTAAATCTTGCATGAATGAAGAATAATCGAATCGCTTCAGTTCAAAGTTGCGTCTCTTTGCGAGATATTTGGAGTCGGTCTCGGCGCGCTTCTTCTCCTTCAAGGTGTCTTGCCGCTGACCAAGATAGCGGCCGAGGTATTGGTAGTAGTCTTTGCTCTCCTCCTCAAAATCTTTGCGCTTCGTCTCGGCTTGCTTGATATCGATGTTGTAAAGTTTGTAGATGGGATCAATAATGAGCTTCTGGATATAGGTAGCATTCGACTTTTCATAGACCAAGATTTCCTTTGCAATCTTGTCAAAGTAATGATCAATGGCAGGCTGGACAGCGTTGGCGTTGGACGATGACGCTTCTCGAAGTGCGTCCATGAGATCGGACATGGCATTGTTGCACCCGACCTGGGCTTCCATGGCGGCCTCTGCGCGCTTCAGGACCTTTTTCCACCGTGTGCGCATGTTGCCGGTCTTTTGCTCGAGCGACTTCATCGTGGCGCGGAACAGCGGCCCATCATCGGTTTGGCTGAGATCCTCACCCGGGCGGGAGACGTCGAGCTTGACAGGCACATTTCCACTCGATGCCGTAGTCGCCTGGCTGGGTACCAGTCCCAAACTGTGCTCTGGTATGGGTTCGCAAATAGGCGATCTTGGGGGAGGAGCTTCCCATTCTTTATCTTCACCAGCCGAATCACTAACTCGAGACTCTATGGATTGGGCAGACGGTACGCGAAGGCGGGGCGGAACACCCAGTTCCATGCGCGGGGTGGGTGACTTGGGGCTCTGGACCTGGCGTGACGTGTCTGTATTCGTCAGTGGATTTTGCTCGTATACGTAAGATTGAGGGGAAACTCCAGTACTTTGGACCCAGAAGGAAAAGTTTGCTAGTGTCTCGAGCCTGTGTGCTCGCTGGTCGTATTCGACAAACTTGGGAAATGTCAGTTTTTGTAGGCAACGAAGAGGAGCGGGTGTATACAGACACTACAGCTGGTGCGCCAGCCCCCGCCGCGGGATTCTGAGAGCTTTGGAGGGGTCCACTTCCACGACCACTGGAACTGGACCGAGGCATGGCCGCCGGTTGAGTAGTCGCCGACAAGCTCCACCTGAGGGTTCTTGTGGAGGTTTGGGTTTGCGTGGAACTCGCGCGTGACGAGGTTTTCGAGGTCCTTTGAGCTCGAGGCGAAGAGAAAGGTCAGGCCGTTGATGTTTGTGTCGACGAGGCCCGAGGGGGTGATTGCGGAATTAGTGTTGACATTGTATATGCTGGGCACGGCTAGGTGCTGGCGGAGGACAAAGGTGAAGTTGAAGGTAAGCTCTTCCTCGTTGGTCAGGCGAAGGAGCAAGGCTGGGGGGCTGTCGCTGGAGGGGACTGCTTCTGGGTCCTGTGGAGAGAGGGGGAGGGTTAGCAGAGGGATGGCGATGGCGGTGGTGGTGGTGGGCAAGCAGGGGGCGTACCTGGATGTACTCGACGACACTGTCGTCGCCAAAGTCGCGGCGCGCCGTGTAGCGCGTGGCGGGGAAGGCATTGGGAGCAACGTTCAGCAGCGTGCGGTTGCGGCCATTGGTGATGTTGAGCGAAGCCACCGAGACTGGGGGCGGTTAGCTGGAGCGTGGGTTGCGCAGCAAGACGACAAGCGACGGGAAGCGAAGGACATACATCTGGTCTGGTCGCGCAGATACAGGGCGCCTGCATCGCCGGCTTTGCTGTGGACAGCGCCCATGGCGGCGAGGAGGTTGTGGTGATGCGCGGGCGCATTCCTCTGGCGCCGGGAGGAGGATGGGGCAGAGCGCTATTGGGATGCTTAGAGGGGCCGGCTCAGGGCTGCGGCCGTGACTTGGAGTCGTGGCCAGGGCTGCGATGCTAGCAGCGTCTTGGAGTGGCCGCGATGGCTGACCCTCTGTCTCTGTTTCGACGACGGCCTAACTCCAGGCCAGGCGGGGGAGGGCAAGCGGTCATGCAGCCATGCAGGAACGCCCAGGTGGTGAAACCGTTTGGGCCTCTTGTTGCTTGTCAGGATGCCATCCATGCCATGCACCCAAGGGCCGGCGATGCACGCACACGCCCTGCATCCGCCCGCCAATCAGAACCCCCGTCGTTCCGCCGCCCGCGTGCCGTCATCGAGTCCTGCGTCTTTTTACCCAGCACCAGACGCCTGCGAGTGCGGACAAAACACCACCCACTGTTTTAGACGTGACCGCGACGCCGACCAGTGCGCCCGGCCTGTCCCGTCTTCTGGTCTCGACACCATGGCCACGCGCTTCCCCCCGCTGCGCCACGCCCTGCGCCAGCCCCTCGCCAGCCCCCGCGCCACACAGCGCCGCTGGGCACGTGTGCAGGATGTGCGCTTTCTCGTCACCCACGACCCCCAGGCGCGCGTCCTGGCAAAGTACCGCGACAAGCTCGAGTCAAAGGCCCGCGAGAAGGGCCTCCGCGACCTCGATGAGCTGAAGGCGCAGTACAGGGACCGCATAGAGGAACTGAGGAAGCAGGCCATTGTCCCTGGTGCGACGGGACCTCTGGCCCCTCCACCAGAACACCAACACCACCACCACCAGCCGCGACACACACAAAATGCCCCTCCACCACCAAGGCCACACAGCCCGCAGCCATCGTCGCCCCGCCCGGGAGCCGGCTCTCCTACGGCGCCGCCCCCGGGCGTGCAGACGCTCAATTCCTTCCTCGCCGTCGACAAAATCCAGGACAAGACGCGCGAGGAGATAGAAGCCCTCTGGCGCATGCGCCACGCAAACAACCCACAGGGCATCCACTTTGCCGTCCCAGCAAGCACCTTCGCCAACCTCGTCCGCAGCGCAAAGCAGCATCCCTCCTTTGTCCTCCCCATGCCCCGCGAGATGCCCGCAGACCCGGACGCCGCCCCCGACGCCCAGGGCCAGACGCAGCAGGCCGTCGAGCTGCACTACCTGCAGTTTGCCCACCCCCACGCCCACACCACAACCCTCATGTTCACCACGCTCGCCGAGTTCAAGCTGCGCGGCGAGTTCGCCAGCCCCCACACCACCGTCACCTTCCACCAGGAGCTGGCCGACAGCCACAACCTCGTCCTCGGCCAGGGCCTGGTCGTCGAGAAGCGCGGCGTCAGTCTCGACGACGCCCGCTGGCTCATCATGTGCATGCAGAAGTTCTACGTCCAGACGGACGAGGGAAAGGGAAGGAGCGAGCTGCTCGACATGTTCACCAGAGGCGACAGTGCTTTCAAGGTCGAGCGTCTGATTGACGAGGCCGAAAAGGTATTGTAGTGTAATATTATATGTATGTAAATGTACCATGTATACCATCGTCGTCATCGTCGTTGTCGTCATCGTCAAGCAAGCAAGCAAGCAACCAGCCAACCCATTGTATGTTTGGTCCCTCATCCCCGCAACGGCAGTATGTGCTGCACCAAACACGCCTGTCTGCACAGCGGGCATTCTGGCTTTTCCCTCGCCCAGTCTCCAATGCACGTCCAGCAAAAGACATGGCCACACGTAGTCACACTCGGGTCCTTCATCTCCTCCAAGCACAGCGTGCACTTCCTGTTTCCTCCGCCAATCCACTCCATTGTCTCCTCGTCCCCAAGCTCATACCGCGGCTTGTCTGTTGGCGGTGTGTGTGTCCACTTTTGCACGTCCGATGCCGCAGCCGTGGGCACAGCCGGCGTAGCAGCATCGAACAAGAGCGCATTGTTGGCACTGTACGCGTTCGGATCCAGAGACACTTCTGCGCCCCCTCCTACAATCGCCGACGTGCCATGCGCATGACCGCTCCCACCCGCCGCCGCTGCTGCCGTCGACGACGCCGTAACCGTATTGTGCAAGTGCAGATACGCCTGCACCGCCATCTGCAGCACAAGCAGTACCCCAAGCACTTCGTACCCAGCCCGGTTATCCCCCTCAGCCACCTGCCGTGTGAAAATATATCTGAGCCCCCATAACCGCTTCGAAAGATGGTAGTAGCTCCCCGAAAAATAAAACGTCGCCAGCGACACCGCATACACCGGCGACGGCGACGTAATCGTATCCAGATTCTGCAGTAGATAACTCTGTACCCGCATCCCTAGCGGTCTCCGTACTTGAACCTTGTCGCCTTTCTCCTGCGCACCCATCTGCGCCCGCGCCTGTTGTCGCGCATACCATCTCAGATTCGCCTCGAGTTTCGCGCGTATCCTGCGCCTAAACGCCGGCAACGCCCTTCCCAACACATACGGCCCCAGGATACACGCGACAATGTATCCTGCCCTTCTCCCCAGCGCGGGTAAGCGGCCTGTTTCGCTTTCCACCTGCACAATGTCCGTGTATTCTTCGCCCAGTGTGCGGTTTCCAATTAGCGTCGTGAGACCGAGGTAGAGCAGCTCGCCTATTACGCGTGTTTCGGAAAGGTACGTGTGCGCGGCGCGCGCGCCGTAGAGTTTGCGGAGCAGCGAGGAGAGGTGTTCGAGGAGGACGCCGGAGAAGTAGGCGTCTTTTTGGTGCGAGCGGATTATGTCGGGGGAGGCGGCGAAGGGGTAGGCGAAGGGGGGCGAGGGCGCCATGGTTTATTGCTTTCTGTGATTGCGCGCGACGAGTGTATTGGAAGAGCGACGATGGGCGCGTCGTTTGTCGTTGCAAGAGCAGAGGCTGCCTTTACATGATGTGTTGTTGATACATGGGGGCTCCGGGGCACGAGTGACATGCTACCTCGGCCTGTGCCTCACGGGTAAAGCTCGGGCCTCACGTTTACCGTAGCCGTCGTGCCTGTGATACAACGCCATCGCCCCAAATATTACTTTTACATGTAGTCAGACGTCAACTGGTGGTCATACTTTCAGAAGCAATGAAGCAAGGAAAAAAATTCAGCCCATTTCCTTCATTGAATTATTCTCATTTATCCAATTTTCACGTTGCCCTACCCTACATATATCCTGCTACCCAGGATAACCCCCCCGCCCCCATGAATCCAACCTCATTTATTTAAAAAACATTCCTTTCTTAGCCACAGGCTTCTTCTCCTCTCTCTGCCGTATTCTCGCATGATACTCAGCAACAACTTCCCTCGCACCATGCAGATCCTCTTCTACCAACCAGTCACGACTATCCTCATACCCCTCCCACTTGACCAGATAATACGTCTTATCCCCATCCTGATAATGCTCTTCAATAGCCTCAACCACGTACTCATCTGTGGCGCCATCGTCGCCATCTGCCTTGCACCTGTCATCTTCCATGATAGAATCCGTAGTCATGTGTATAGTGTCGCTGTCAAGCCCGCTTTTGTGTGCAGACGGAGATGGATGGGTAGCATTATTAGCGGAGGCCGACGGCGCATATGCGCGAATCGAGTCGTCGGAGTCGGATCGAAACATGGGCGATCCCACGGCGGGTAGATCGCTGGGTGGTATTGGTGCCATGTCCTCGATAGCCAAGGGACTCGAGTTTGCGTCTGCGGCAGACGAGCGGTCTGAGAAGAGGGCTGCTGAAAACGCTTCTGTTGGTATTTGCGGAGGTGACGGTCCTGATGTGTAGTGATCTGAGTCTGGATTTTCGAGTCTTAGTCTTTTGATGCGATGCGGGTCTTCGTCTAGTCCGTGGTCCTGTTGCGCAATAGGCCTAGGTACATCTTCTGCTTCATCCTCTTGGGTGTGGTAGGCGATGGGAATAGAAAGTCTCCGTGTACCAGATGACAGTGGCAGAGCGCTGTTGGCAAAAAATGCCGAGCGCATTAGATCTGGCGACGGTTGGGTTTGTGCGTCTGAATTTTGGTCCTCTTCATCATCGGTTTCTGGAATTACTGGAGATATATCCTGGGCTGCTTGGTCCAGAAAGACAGGAGAATCACCCAAGTGCTCGCCCAAATCATTGTGACGCATGGCCAGGCCTCTCCCTCTGCCTCTCCCTCTGCCACGTCTCCCTGGAGGCCTGTATCTTGTCCGCATCGGTATATCTGAAGGTAATCCTAGTCCACTGAGCATCCGACTTTCTCCTCCAGTCATCTTGGCCCCTCTTGCATTCTTTTCCAGCTGCCGACGCGCCAGCTCATCAATTTCTGCCTGTACCGCAACAGCCTCTGCCTCTGCCTCGAGCCTAAACTGCTCATTTTCAAATCGCTCCAGCTCGGCTGAAGAGACGTAGTGCAATATGCGACTAAGGTCTACGTCTTCGGTGACTCTCTGTTCCTCACTTTTGCCGGTACGTATGATTTGAACGATGTAGCAATTTCTTACTACCGCGCCCTCGGTCTGCCGGCGATCAAGAATTCGCGTTTGCGCGTCTGGTATCGGGCAGTCGTCAGATGGTTGTGGGGTAACTACGGCAGGTTCTTTACGGATACGCCATAGCTGCTCATAAATCTCTGGACCTGGTTTGTATGATTCCCATTCCCACTGTGAAAACAATGAGCGACTTTTCAGGCGTCTGCGCCAACATCACGTACCAGCTGCGTCTTTCCTCTACCGCGTCCTTTGCCACGTCCGCGTCCGCGACCGCCCCGAGAGACTCTCAGCGCCATTGCGACTCTCGAATGAAATGCAATAGCTTGTGTAGCGGCGCGTCATTGTGTAAGAAACAAGAAGGGTCAAGGTAAAGGCGCGTCTATGGTACTTGAATACAGAGATACTTGAATTATGCAAGAAGCCTTCTGACGTATCTGGTTTAGCGCCTGTTAAACACCAGATCAATGCGACCATCCAATCAACATGAGTACTACACTACGATCCGTTGTGATAACGCTCTGACGGGCAAGTCGAAATGAAGGAGTAATATGGAGGGTAATACAAGGCCACGTCATGTCAAAAGTAAATGTTACGGTCAGCTGCTTTGACTACACCTTTGCCCTCCAGTCCCAGCCCACAAGAGATATCCTCGTAGCCACAAGCAAACTCCCCCCAACGAAGAACGACACGGCCGCCCAAACGTTTGCATATGTAAAGTCACCGTTGTTCATCTGGATGAGTGCGCCGGCTAGCGGCGGACCTGTCAGACTCGACATACTCACAATGGTAAAAGCCATGCCCATTCGCACGCCCGTTTTCTTGAGATCCATCTCGCGGCTCAGAGTTCCAATGACAGCAGGCCATAATGCTTGAATGACAGCACTTCCGCTGCCATAAATAGCTGCAAAGACATACAACGTGCCAATAGACTTAATTCCGATCCATGCTAGCATCATGGTGCCGCAGATAAAGGCAAAGGGAATCAACACATTCAGGCCCCCAATCTTATCGGCATAGTAGGTGGGCAGTATCCGAAAGAGAAATCCCATGGCAACCTGCACAAGGAGCAAGTTGATACTTTGTTGATAGCTGACACCGAGGACGTTACGCGCATAACTCCCGATGTAAAAGAAGGAAAAGTACAAGCCCCAGAAACAGAAGAAAGCCGCAGTACAGTACAGAGTGTAGGGCAACTCCTTGAAACTCGCCCAGTCAACCAGTGGACCACTTTTCCTCGGCGGAAGTCGCGTACGATACAGAGCAATCGCCGTAATATTCACAACGAGCATGATGAAGCCGATGATGCGGATGGTCCACGCGAAGCCCACACTAGGCAGGCATTGCTGCACAATGATTGGGAAGATTACGCCGCCAGTGCAAGAGCCGAGTGCTGTGAATCCGAGTGCAAAGGCGCGGCGTTTAACAAAGTACGTGGATACCAGAGCCATGGATGGGCAGAATTGTAGGCCATTTGCGATACCCAGGCAGACACCTTGGGAGAGGAAGATTTGCCATGCGCTCTTACAGTGCGCCAAAGTGAAGATACCGACCAGCTGGAAACAGCTTCCGGCGATGTAAACGGGGCGAAAGAGGCCTGCATCAGTGGCGCGGCCAGTAAAAGTGCCGAGGAAAAAGAGGAGGAAGACTTGCAGAGAGCCGATCCATGATATTGTCGACGGCTCGATGCCAAGCGTCTTTTCGTAGTAGGTCTGGTACACACCGAACGAAGTGAAGAAGCCAAAGGTCGTCAAGATAGTCAGGTGGGTGCAAAACACTTGGATCCAGGCTTGAACACCACCATCAGGAGCTGGGCCCGGGTCAAAAGATGCTGCAGATCGGCGTGACAGTACTCGTGCAAGAGCAGGTAGATTGGGCTTTTCAGATGGCTGGTATGTACTTGGAGGCTCGGCTTCTTCTTGGGGCAAAGCTTGTTCGATATCGGCATTGGCCTTGGCAGGCTTCGCTGCCTCATTGCCCATTTCTGCGTCGATGCGTCGAGTCGTCATGGTTCTTGGACCATTGGAGTTGGACGTTCCAGTTCCGAAAATTGAAGATGAGGCGTAACTTTACGTTTAGAAAACTCATATGAATGGCGAAACCCGGGAATAACATTACTTAATAAATAAATGAATTATGGCCGCTGCTTGTATTCAACCAAACGCCGGCCTAACATTGCATGTGGGCCAATAACCTCGTGTTGCTCAAAGAGGGTGGGGTCGGCGGTTTTTCCGACAATCATAAGCGGCGTTCGCGTGACTCCAACATGGTCAATAGACTTATTATGAACATACCTATATCTCTTTGTGCATTACTTACACTGTGTTTTCTCTGCTGTACATATGTACTTTGTGTCTAATTCTGACATTACACGACATTTTGTCTACCGTATCCCACACCGCCTATGACCATCTTTACGGTCCTTTACGAGTCAGTGATATCAGGATTCTCAAGAGTTCGGATCAATTCCGCTTTTGAACTTCCTCCACCTGGGACTCCGAGGACTCAATAGCGCCCTTCTCACAAACTGAAGGATAACAAATCTGAAAAGTACACAATGCTACCCCTGCTGTGGAGACTTGACTAAGCTCGTGATCTGTGACGACTACATCGACTTTAGCCAGCAAAGATCGAAATGTATGCCAATCGCGATAACATATTGACCGTCACGACATCCAGGATGCACTGGAATTTACCATGGCCGTTTTCTTAACTATCTAATCTTGACAACGATAGTATAGCCTTGGTTGGCGCATCGAGTTTCCGCAGGTATTCGCATCAAAAACAAGCTATCCGACTATCACTCCTTCGATCAGCCTTTCTAATACTGCTTGGAGGCAATACCTTGCCATCTTGAGATCGCATCACAGATCTGATATCTGCATCGTCCAATCGATTCCTTATCGCAATGTGTTACCCCTCTTAAATCCTCCACCGGTCAGACATGACGTCGCACCCGCATATTCCACCACCATCATCTACAATAACAATAAGAAACTGATACCGAAAAGCTGTGTTTCACACATATAACTGCACTGCCGTTTCATAACAAATTTTCTCTCAGCATTCAATCTTCCCTTACAGTAATCAAGTAGTTTCCATCACCGATCATTCGCAATGGGCAACAAGGCGTCATCAGTTGGCTCGGGTACGGTGTCACAAACAGATACTGGAAACCGCAATAACAACAATTGCACAGGGTGCAAGGACTGTACGTGAAGCAACTGATTATCGTACTCACAGATTGAGAGCTGATCCTGCGTCATGTACACTAGGTCAGAACTGTACAGATTGCAGAGGCAAGTCATTTCCTAGCTATTCATGTCTGCATTATGTCATATATTCACGGATAAGTGTATTTCACCTTACTCGTGGTATCAAATCCCCATCTCATGTTGAATCGTCTCAAGTATGTTGCTTGCTTGCCCAAACGGGTTTTTTGACAGTAGAACAGATTGCACCTCATGTCGCAACTGCACGGACTGCGAAAATTGTACAGATTGTCGAAATTGCACAAATTGTACCAACTGTACAGGGTGAGTTCCGACTGGGCCACACGGCGAGAACCAGTGCATTTCAACGGTTTGCAACAGGGGGCTGACGGATTTAGCTGCTCCAACTGTACTGATTGTAGCGGACTGAAGGACGCACATAACCAAACAGGTGTGCATAATTAACGAAAGCTGTATGAGTATTGAAAACGAAGAAACGGGTTGCTTTGATCAGGATTGTTGTCATTTAACAAACCCAACATGTCGCATGTCAAAAGATAGAAAAAAGGATGAAGAAGACGATAGACGGCAAACGACTGAAGCTTGGCCTGCAAAATCTGTTAATCCACTTTAGGTAACTAGCTTGTCGAATTGACTAATCTGTTGTGATTTTCTCAAAACTGAAACCCGATTTTCTCATCTATACATACCTTTCGCACAATGATTGTACAAAACCATTTCACTACTTTGTATAGACCACCCAAACTCTCAAGCCCCATACCGACGCCTTTTTCCTCAGACATTGTTAATCAATCCCCATATGTCTCAACTCACAATGTCCAATCTCTCCATGCACATTGCCATATCAATCCTCATCTCATCTCTCTACATAAGTTCCCGCCTTGAAGTCCCGAATATTCACTTCATACCTCAAACAAGCGATCACACTCATTCCATCATCTCACGATGCAATCCCTCAAAAAAATGCTGCCAAAGCGCAACCACGCTGAACCTTCCCCACCCTCCAAACATACCGCTTTCTTCCCCCGTCTAATTCATAACAAAAAGCCAAAGAAACACATCTGCCACCTTCCCAAACCCCTCCGCGTTGGCTTCCTCCTCGAGAGCTTCAACGACCCCGATCTCCCTCTTATCATGCTCCGCCCACCAACTCCCATGTGGGAAATGTACAACGTTGAAGACCGCCTGTTCGAGCGCTCAGGCGACAAGTTCGTGTTGAAGAAGAGCAAAGAGCGCCCGGATTTGAGGCAAGAGGCGAATAACATGCTGCCGGTGCCGGTGCCGAAGCTTGAGGACTTGCTCATGTGCGGGGATGAGGGCGAAGATGAGGAAGTGGAAGTGGGGGGTGAGGGGTTGGGTGCGGAGTGCGAGGCTGACTATCGGGCGTATATGGCTGGGATGGGTTTGCTTGGGTAGAAGGGAGTGTTGAGGTGGGTGGAAATTACTTTGATTTTCTTTCTGGTAGTTTTGATCTTGTGAATGAATTGATTTTGGGAATTCTACAGTCTTTTAAGTCTGGATTCGAGGGAAAATATCGTACTTGTTAATTGCTGTGCTAGTTGTTTTGGTGCTGTGCAAACACGTTATGCATTTGTCTTTACACCTGTTAGCCTTTTGTATACTATTTAACAACTATGAGTGTTGAAATATCGTGCATGTGGTCGCTCATCGTCTTGGAATGATGACACAAAGAGACGAGTTCATCTTTGCGCTTGTTTAGCCTTGTGTCGCCTCAATGTGGCAGTGCCTTCAGCCGTAAATGCATTCCAACAGCGGGAGAAATTTGTGGCCTATCTGATGTTTCGATAATCTGAGATGTTCTGATCATCTGATATCTCAACGAAGTTGTCTGGTTTGTAATCGCTTTCGTTCATTCCGACTTACATCATGTTGTCACCTTCTCCAAGCATTCCCTCACGACAAGATTTGGCTTTGATCATATATTTGCAATCTCTTGTAGCTGAAGCAACTAGATGCAACGATAAAATATCGAGTGAAATTGAAACCACAAAGAAAATACGTACACGGGCTTCACACAACATTGCATGCAGGCTGCCAGCGGATCCAATAAAGCCGCTACGATCATCCAGCGACCGTATATTCACTTAAATTCCAACAAAAAAACTAAAAGAAAGGATGGCGCCACCTGTGCACTCCTACTTTGGGGTTCTAAAGACTAGAAAGATACACAACCTGGGTTCGGCATGTTCTGACCACCAACCTCGAAAGTGAAGATGCAATTTCGCTGCATTGGCTAAACAGTGTGCCAACCAATGTGGCTTTTTGTGGAGATGATTCTCCTGGCAGAGGTCAATAGACTTACCTCTTTAAAGAGCAGTGAATTACGAGAGGCTTATGTCTAGGAACCTGCCCGCAAAACCCCTGAGATGTAGAATGCAGCCACATCCGGTGGCGCCTGCACTAGTCCGAATTATTTGGAACAAACTCAACACCTCTCATTTTGAACTTGCGATTTACAATTGAAAACAGCAGCACAAAACTTCTTCTTATTGCCAATCCATATGTATAGAGAACGCAATCAGTTGATGTTATCTGCAGAGAGTTCAATTTCACGGAAATAGATGCGAGGTAGATAAGTTGTGGATGTTTTTGGCAGAGGTGCGTAGCAAAAGACATATCTAAGCGATCCCACACCGCGCACTGACGACCATCGGCCGCTCCGTCCGCTTGCGAGCCAGGCTAGTAGCATTCATTGTAAACGCCCAACGCACAGATGGTCAGGGCCGCTAGTCATGTTATTTTGGCTGCAAAGTATCTTTATTGACAGTTATAACGAACCGTCGTGCTCCTTTTTTCATCTTCTTCACCCTCATGCTCTCGAGCATCTTTACAGTCTTTACATTCAGTCGATGGTTCTAATCTACATAAGCCACTAATTCTCATATTCAAAATGCCCCTGTCACTCTTTTCGTTAGTTGCAATTTGCACTACTTTTCGCCTCGCCTTTGGTGCTCCTACACCTGTCGTCACCTCTCAAACCTCAATTCCTTGTACCAAGTCTCTACAACCAACCTCCTCCTCACCAGCAAGCTCAGGCTACTCCTATAGCGATGTGCCCAGTAGTGCGCCCTCCGTATCACCGACTCCTTACTCATCCTTAGCTGTTTACTCCATTTCCACTGGAACATCCACGTTTCTTCAGTTGTATACACCAGTCAACAGTCCAACCCCAGTTGACTCCCCAACACCAATTGAAAGCCCGACACCAATTGAGACTCCGACACCTGTCGAGACTCCTACTCCAATTGAGACACCAACGCCCATTGAGACTCCGACACCTGTCGAGACACCAACGCCTATTGAGACACCAACGCCCATCGAGACCCCCACACCTATTGAGACTCCGACACCAATTGAGACGCCAATACCTGTCGAGACTCCTAGTCCAATCGAGACACCAACACCGATTGAAACTCCCACTCCTATCGAAACTCCTACTCCCATTGAGACTCCGACACCAATCGAGACACCAACGCCCATCGAGACTCCCACGCCTCCTCCCGTTCTCTGTAACGTCGCCAACCTCAGAATACTCAACATAACACCCCTACGCAATATTCGCATGGCGAGCGGCGTACCATTTGATCCCAACCTCTGCAGATCCTTCTGTCGCAGCCTGGGTACCTGCGCCAGCTACGGAGTCACCGGGCCATTTTGCGAATTATATGCTCTCCCTGTTGCACAGGTTGCATGGAATGGCAATGCCGATGAGCCGAGGATAAACTCTGTGTATACATTTTCTGATATAGGGTGTGCGTAAGGGCTAGATTTCTCCTATTCGTATCTGCACAACAGCGCTGCGAGGACTTGGTGCCACCTTACGCATTGCTTTTGTGCAAGATTGCTGTCCATTCCGTTCACGTACCATGATAAAATGTCGTCTTCTTCCGTCTTCTATCCTCATCATTGCATGGCCTCTTCGAGCGCGACGCCTAGTACAGAATCTTACTCATCTTTATAATTACCTTACGCTAGAGATCTAGACCTAGTTTGCCTTATTCATACAGTAACTACATTATTCTGCATCTTGCGAGTGTGTTATATAAGTGCTCTTTAGATAAGGTATGCTACTAGCGCGAAGGATGGCGTTTAGTTTGTAAAACATTTACTGAGATTTCCTTCAGAAATCTACTAAAGTATATTGGGTCTTAGAACATCAATCAGCATAAGCTATAGACACTTTTATACTTGTATTATAGAGTAGTTCATTCTAATCACTGAAGACAGGGCCTATGGCTTTCCGAAGAGAAGGACGGAAGGTATTAATACTTAAGTCTAGTGAGCTGCACCTTCAATGCCAGCATGTTGTTTCGAAGACGAGTATCGCGATTCTCATTTTCTTCAGCGCTATCATCCTTGTGATCATCATTATTAGGCTGTTTAGTGTTGTGATATCCATACTACACTGCGAACACGCGAAAGAGTCAATGTTCTGGAAATCCACTTTACTTGGCTATGGCTAGGATTTACTAATAGCAATGAGACAAGGACTCAGCTTTGTTGAAAAGCCTATTGGAAAAAAATAAAAGACGCTTGTATCTCCTTCGCTTTTGCAATCCTTCCGTCGATTTCAATGCCTAAGGCCTTTGTATCTATTTTAAGAGCACTCGACCCTCCAGGACTGGAACTGTACATCAGCTGAGCATGCTGTGCCGCTGTTACCGACCGCCCCTCCGACCTAGATACCACAAATGCCTGATTAGTATTGTAATTTCGCTGCATTTATTATAATCTTTGGGAAAACGTTCCTAAATAAGGGAGAGGTGGTTACCTACTTGAGTGCCGCAATTTCGGTCTGCATACATATAGCCAACACAATTGCGGCCATTGGTCAGAGTCAGAGAGATAGGCTTTTTCTGATCGGCTGGAACATTGGTCAACTGGCAAGAAGTACTGCCAATTCCATCCACTCGATAGGAGTTGCCTCCGCATTGAGATTTCCAGTTTACCCATACGGTCCACGCAGAGGCATGAGGGAGGACAGCCGTTACGAGAACGAAGGTGGCAGCGGTAAAACGCATCTTAGACAGATCAAGAAATTGAGCAAGGATACTTTATATCTGTAAGATATCTGGTGATGGTAGTAGAGAAGGTTGTAGTTTGAGGTGGCAGTGATGAAAATACTCATGGAACCGGATGCCTTTAAATACCTGCTTCTTTGTTGATTTCCCCAATATTAGCTCGTAAGACAGAAACATATAATCTGCCTTGACCGTTCATGGGAAGAGAGTGTTGTGTTCCTCGTGCATGGTGGAAGATCAAAACGAAAGTGTTCATTCTCCTCATCTGGCATCATACACCGACGTGCGTCTCCACAGTAAGCAGCTGAATTCTATACACTATGTATGCCACCCTATTTTTCCTAGTAGGTTAGCGTTGTTTGGCCCCATAAAGGCTCAGAACAAGGAGAAATGATGCAACCATGTCCATTGCCTACAACCCTCAAGGCTATTGTCTATTATACAACCCTTGAAGTCTAGTTCTCCTAGGGCTAGTGAATCTTTCTGTTTCGCATAGAGGGCATTTAAAAGCTTGCTGTTATTGGCTGGGCAATACGCAATTGCAGACATGGCCTACTGATTTTCTATTCTTAAACAGCCGAAAGAAGTAATTGTTAAAGGCTTGGACGTAGTGACACGAGACAGCAGGATAGTTCTGGGCGGTCTTGGAAGGAGTGTCGATTAATGAAAATGTCTTACCTTTGCGGATCTGTCAAGGTTCAGATTGCGGGGTTCGGAGGAATGCTATTGTGACTAGCAGTGTTGCCTGATGGAGCAGGGTTTCTAACGATGGCATCGGGTGTCAGAACCGAGCCAAGTCGGCCACTTCACCCATGCCAAGCCAGCCACTCCAGCCCTACCCGCTTACTGATGGTAAGCAGTGTGCATCCAGTCTACAAAGTCTGGAAAGCTGTTATAATTACTAAGTAGTATTGGCCAAGGGTTGTGGGGCTTCAAGGACATTGTATAGGTTAGCAATTGGGGAGCAGCTGGATAGAGGTACTAGTATGTTGCTGCGCGCATAAGGCGATTCATCTTATCAACTACGTCGACAAACGGAACGACGACAGCCGCTGCAGCCGCATCCAGTATTCGACGTGATGTGTCTAGACCGTTTGGAGGGTGCACGTACAACCGGTGAGACTCCAGCGTAAGTGCACGCAAGTATGAGCTGCACGATTGTGTGCAGGTCTTGAGCTGAGTGCTCTATATCGATGAACATGTCGTCTAGTTTGGCCTTTCGCATGGGTTACGACCTCGTTGCTCATTACTAGCTTCACGGACATTACAGCTCACACATAGCTCTTGAAAATCCAAGTACGAAACTGATTCGACAAAGTGAAGGCGCCATTCTATGTGATCATGGTTGCTGAGCGTAGAAGTTAACAACAAGAGCTGCAGGGTCTGAATGCAAAATTGGCATACAATACGAACAACTTAGCTGCAAACTAGAGAGGCGTCTGGTTTTGTGACAACGAGCTATTGTTTCAATTCACTTCTGGTTTCGATTTCGTAGGTTGACTCCATTAGAGAGCTTCCAAGGCGCGGCAACTAAGTACGCGGAGCATCCTGACTCGTTTGTCAGACGTCTGCAGAGACGATGGCGGTGGGAGCAAGTGCTCCGGCTGTGCCATATTTTACGAGTAGTCTAAAGCTGCCTTCTCTGTTGTATATTCTGGCGCATACGGCGAAACCGGGTTGCACTCAGGTACATTTCATTGGGCTGTGAGTTTTGGCTGGAGCTTACATTAATGCATCTATGGAACTTGGAAATTTACCATTTAGTGTTATGAAACTTTCTCTATGCAAATCATCTGAATGTTGGAGGCTCACCTTTTGTGTGACTGAATATAAGCAGGAGCATTGGGAAGGCCTATAACTCCGCCTGGCACCCGTGTTGAAAATAAGTCAACCCCAAGATAGATAAATCAGAGAGACCAGACAAATTACGTTCAAAGGCTCACTCGAAATGAAGACTGTATATCTCCCTAGCTCGTCACAGATAATGCTCAAGTGCTTCAAGTCAAAAAGCGCTCCAATCGGCATTCCACAGCCTCCTAGCAACCACTCATGCAGACGCTATAGCAGCGCTGTGAATGGCCATTTCTCAAAATATCTCATATCGCCTGGGACGGTAGCAAACCCAGTATTTCAAAGGAATTCAAGGAGCCTTTCCCAAGGCTCCGAACCACTGTTTTCGGGCTTTTCTCTCTGATACACCCCATGAACCTTCTTTCTCCGCTCGGGCGATATGATTTGATGTTGATGTATGTATCTGCTCCGTAGAAGCAATTTTTTGTGCAAACATATCGCCTCTATTTGCACTGTTTGTATCACAGTATAAAGAACAATCCTGTACGGTACAGTGCATATATAGCGGAGCTAAAACTATGGACTGAATTAAGCGCAAGTTAGTAAAGATATTAATAACTTGAAATGCAGTACAAAATTTCATAGAACGGATGGAGAGTCTACTGACCTAATTTAGAGGTTAAGGAGAGCACTGACGCCAGATGAGTGTGGGATTGAACAGCTCTTCGGGTCGATTACCTTAGAAAAGATTCATGTCGAGCACTTAGTAGCTATAGGTCCTAGCTTGAGTTGGCCGATATAGGCCGTACTAAGATAATAACCAAGAGTATCTGTGGTAGTGGAGCATAATAGCAGGCTTCTGGATATTTGAAATCATCACAAAGTGTGGGCAAGGTAGTGTCTAGCCCAGTAAACAAGTGGAGGCAGAAGTAGAGGTTTGAAATCAACTCAGATGCCAGTTTCAGTGCCATCGCAAAATGCGAAATGGTAGCGACTTTGATGGAGCGAAAGGTTCGGAATTACAAGCTAGATACAATATCATGATTTCCTATCTGCTCCAGTGACTCAATGGTGCCAGTTCGTACACTCTCGTCTCTCCGAGTCTTGAGTATACAACTATTCCAGCCGATTAGATCCTTGCAGCCCCAGTAACACAAGCACAAACCGCACTTGCGCTAGCTTGCACCTGCAACGCCGTGGCAATTCCACAGTTGCCTACTACACATCCAAGGGCATCGCTTTGAATCGCAGCAGAGTTAGTGCATCGGCACGCATAATCAACTCCGCCACAACCAACGGCGGACGCGGCGGATTGGATGCACGGAACCTATAAGAGATGTCAGTTTTGAAAGATAGAAGGGGAGGGAATTGGACTAACACCGCAAGTTGGGATGGCAGAGGCGACAGGGTCGCAGCGGGTTTGGGCTGAGATGGAAGTTGCCAGGAGGAGGAGGATAGAGAGAGTAGACTGGTAGTGCATGTTTGCTGATGTTGATTGCTTTGGACTGAGAGATGAGAGTTGTAGTTGTATGTTGAAACGCGGTTTGTAGATGACTTTATATTTCACTGCGGAGTAGCAGCTCTCTACTCGATTCCAACTTACACATGCTTCTTGCTATTGAATTTCGGCTTCAAGAATACCCATCGTTACAATCTGCATCGCTTTCCTTGTTTTGTGATGAGGAGATGCGGGGAAACATCGGAGATGTCGACTAGATAGGGAAGGCAGGAGTCACAAATATTTGAAGTTGTGATCACATGTACCAGCTGTGGTTCGTGGAGTTGTTAATCCCTGCTGCTGCCCCTTGCATGAAGACGGGACGAATTTGCGGGGAAGCTTGTCTTGCCCTAATGCCAGCACGATCAGCATTCACATGTGGGTATAGTCCGACGTATTATACCTGGATGGAATCCGAGGCATTGAACATGCACCAGTGCTAACTATGAGACATGTGAATAGAGAGGGGTAGTTTGAAGACATGTGACTTGTTATTACAAGCAAGGAGTGCACCGCTATACTAAAACGTCACCACACCAACTTCGAGTTTTCTAGAATAGGTGTAATATTAGCTAAATATATACAAATCTCTTATAAAAAAT